TTGCAGCAGCCTCCCCTGCCTCCATATAAGAAGCAGCGAGAGTGGGGGCAGGCATCACCGCAGAGCTGGTGGGGGGAGCTGAAGCAAGTGGGTGTTTGGGCAAGTAGGCTTATCGGTTAATCGTATACTCAACTACTTGTTTATGTCCCCAGTTCTGTTTCCAGTGTACTAATCAGGAGTGGGGTAGAATCACTGCCATGTATCAGCCACATCATTAGTCACATTCAAGTCGCTAACATCTGCTTCTGGCTAGTAGGTTAGAGAGAGGAGTAGAGGCACTCCACTTTCAATATCGTGGAGGAAAAAACTAGCCTTCCTGACATCCTCTGCTGTGAAGGAAAAGGTACAGGGTTTTCTACAGATCTCTGTTCCTGAAAGATGCGTGTTGTGCCATCTCTATTTGTCTTTGTCTCTGACTGGTAAGTACATTGCTCACACTATTGACGATGGTGGCCCCACTGTGGACGGACGGAGCAAGTTTTGTTTTGGTGACGTTTTGGCAACGTTTGTTTTAGTGATGTTTGGGTGTCAGCATAAGTTTTGTAGACAAAACTTGGTAGTGTAGCTGAGACCTAAGTCCGTTGACACAGGGCACCTGTGAGGTTTTAATTTCAAGTACAGACAAACCTCATATTTTCACCTTCTGGTTTAGGTTTTTCACCCCCTTTGAATTTCTCCAGTGCCTGCATTTGTTGTTGTTTTCCCAAGCAGCAGCAGGAGCAACAAGACATGAAATGTCATTTCATTGTTGTTCATAGCGCTTAGTAGCAACAGTGAAGCTGACAAGCTTGGATTTCATTTTTGTTGCTGTTTGACAGAGCCCTGAACAATAGTGGAGACCTGTGTTCCCTGAAAGCTGAGCACTTTGGCAGTTGGCCAAGAGAGCTTCAAATGCCACCCAGCTGATTAGCAGAGCACTCACAGCAGGTAACATGTGTTTCTGTTAGTGGTGCACATCTTCACATGCCTTGGTGCATGTAACAAAATTCATTCTGCACATGAATGGAAAAATTTTGCAAAAACATTGACGGAGACATTTGAATTGCCTGTCAATAGAAGTTTGTATTACTTTGGCTTGTTTCCTTTTCCTTTTGAAAAGCTGTCTTCACAATCATTAGGTCTAGAAGCTTTTTTTCGTAATGGAAACTTAATTTCTGTACAAATTGATGGCTTAGGCCTCTGTTCTCTTGAAATAACTTCCCACTCTACATTGGCAAGTAAATTTCATACTCTGCCAACTAGTAATCTTGTGTCTTGTTGTGGTAGATCCCCTGAAATTAAGTGAAAACTGATAGTCATGTCTGACAAGATTAGATGCATTTATAAATAAGGAAGTTGAGGGGTTAAATGATTTAATGGATACATATTTAG